AAAGTCACTCTCCATTCAACATTTTTTTCATTAATGTCACTTTCCCTTCTACATTTTTTCATTAATGATATTTCAACATTTTTTAACTTTCACGGATTTTCTCTTTTAAAGAAAATATTTGCCTTTAAAACTTTCTCCCATCTTCACTGACACAGTTCTTCTTCCCAGTGAATAAAAGACAGGTGTAAAAACGTGCGTTTATACACGTTTGCTCACCTACACGGGGCGAAACGTTGGTGATTGAAGATGGTTGAGACGTAACACTTTTTCTATAGTTAACCATTAATTTTTTTCTCTGTTCCTATTATTATTATTATTTCATCTTTTTCGTTTTCCTCTCCTCCTCCTCCTCCTTTACCTCCTCTTCTCTTCCTCGTCTTCCTCCCCTCCTTCACCTTACCTTAAATACCTGATGAATCAACTTCACCAAACACTTTTACACCGACTATTGTGCAGTGCTTATATATATATATAATATTTGCACCTGTCATTGTACTCATTGCACTTGTTTGTCTCTTAGCGTGTTTGTTTACCCCATTGTTTGCTTCCTTCTCTCATTGTTTGCTCGCTTCTGTCCTCTACAACCGTCTTTGTTTACATTCCACCTCAGCACTGACGTCTCCAGAAATGAAAAATTAAGGTACGTGTAAAAACGTTAGGCATCTCTGCACCGAAACATCGCCTGCACAGCAGCCTTCATCAGTGGAATACAGAGGCAACGGAAACAGGTGTGAGGACCATGTTATCAGTCTATCACCCTGACAGACGTAGTTTCCAGGAGGTCAGTCCCTCAGCCTGGAAAAAGAGTTCAGATCTATAATATACAAATGTTGAGATATCATTTGCCTTCCCATAAATCACATTCAGTTCCTACCTCGGGCGAAATGTAATTGTCCAACGAGTTGGTAGATTATTTTGGTCAGGGCAAACAGCAATAACAGTCTAATGTGTCAGTGAGTGCATTGTTATTAATGTTACATTATCTTGGTTAACTTAACGTATAGATTTATGTGGTCATGTTTCGCTCTGTGTCGAACGAAACGTTCCAGTGAAGACGAGGGTCATGTGTGTGTGTCTCTACACCAGTGTTGGTACTGTACCACCAGTGTTCGTACTGTGCCACCAGTGTTGGTACTGTGCCACCAGTGTTGGTACTGTGCCACCAGTGTTGGTACTGTGCCACCAGTGTTGGTACTGTACCACCAGTGTTGGTACTGTGCCACCAGTGTTGGTACTGTGCCACCAGTGTTGGTACTGTACCACCAGTGTTGACACTGTGCCACCTATCTCCATCAGTGTTGGCACTGTGCCACCTGTCTCCACTAGTGTTGGTACTGTGGCACCTGTCACTATCAGTGTTGGCACTGTGCCACCTGTCTTCTCCACCAGTGTTGGCCCTGTGCCACCTGTCACTATCAGTGTTGGCACTGTGCCACCTGTCTTCTCCACCAGTGTTGGCCCAGTGCCACCTGTCACTATCCCGTGTTGGCACTGTGCCACCTGTCTTCTCCACCAGTGTTGGCCCAGTGCCACCTGTCACTTACAGTGTTGGCACTGTGCCACCTGTCTTTCTCCACCAGTGTTGGTCCTGTGCCACCTGTCACTATCAGTGTTGGCACTGTGCCACCTGTCTTCTCCACCAGTGTTGGCCCAGTGCCACCTGTCACTATCAGTGTTGGCACTGTGCCACCTGTCTTCTCCACCAGTGTTGGCCCTGTGCCACCTGTCACTATCAGTGTTGGCACTGTGCCACCTGTCTTCTCCACCAGTGTTGGCACTGTGCCACTCACTTGCTGCTTGGCATTCTCTCCTTGCGTACCTGACCTCCACAGCATACATAGTCACGTTCGTTCCCAGTCTCTTCTCCTACACCTGTAATTATGATAATTGGAACTCTCACCTTGGTACCCAGGTGCATATGTACACCTAGGTGTAGCCTACTGCTTACCTCTCAGCTAACACCTAGGTGTGACACCAGTACACCCACATCCATTACTTGACACCTAGGTGTGACACTAGTACACCCATCATCAGACACCTGGGTGTGACACCAGTACACCCATCATCTGACACCAAGGTGTGACACCAGTACACCCATCACCTAGGTGTGACACCAGTACACCCATAACCTAGGTGTGACACAAGCACCCCCACCACATAGGTTTGACACAAGCACCCCCACCACCTAGGTGTGACACCAGTACACCCACCACTTAGGTGTGACACCAGTACACCCATCACCTAGGTGTGACACCAGTACACCCATCACCTAGGTGTGACACAAGCACCCTCCACCATCTAGGTGTGACACCAGTACAGCCACCACCTAGGTGTGACACCAGTACACCCATCACCTAGGTGTGACACCAGTACACCCACCACCTAGGTGTGACACCAGTACACCCACCACCTAGGTGTGACACCAGTACACCCACCACCTAGGTGTGACACCAGTACACCCATCACCTAGGTGTGACACCAGTACACCCACCACCTAGGT